AACCCAGCCGGAGACGCGAATGCCTCATTCGCCCACCTGAATGCCACGAATTCGAACCCTAATGGTCGAAATGATGAATTCGACGACCCTCTCTATCTTCACATAACCGAGAATCCGAATCTGGTCTTGGTTTCTCCTCCTCTGTCAGAGCTCAATTACTCATCATGGAGCAGGTCCATGAAGATAGCTCTTGAAGTGAAGAACAAATTCGGCCTCGTTGACGGTTCAATTCCTTGTCCAAGCCATCTTGATGCCAGATACGCTGTGTGGAGGAGATGCAACAACATAGTCTGTTCGTGGATTCTGAAATCCCTAAATTCCACCATTGCAGAGAGTGTGCTCTATTGCGAGAAAGCTCAGGACATCTGGAATAAGCTCAAGGAGAGGTACTCACAAACAGATCCTCACAAGATAGCTGAAATTCAGAACGAGATATTCAGAAACACACAAGGTAACAAAACTATCAATGAATACTTTACCAAGTGTAATGCTATGTGGGAACAGCTGAACGCAATGAGACCTCTGCCAAATTGTGAGTGCAACCCTAGATGTTCCTGCACTCTGCTCAGTAAAATTCAGAAAGAGAAAGAAGATGATCGAGTGATTAGATTCTTAGAAGGGTTGAATGATGAATTCGAGACTATAAAGTCGGGAATCCTTGTTATGGATCCCATTCCAACCATGGAGAAGGTTCTTAGCATGGCCTTGAAAATAGAGAGGAAGGTCAATGGATCTGCTAGTCACCAGAAATCTGTTGAGGTGATTCGATCCAATGCCATACAAAACAGTCAACCACAACTTACAGAAGGGATGTTGGGAGAAGGGAGCACTGTGGCTTTCTCATCTTCTAATACCAACAAGAAGAAGCTTAACAATTTTGGTGGCAAGAATTTACCTAGGTGTACCTTTTGTAACATGAATGGACACACAGTGGAAAGGTGCTATAAAAAGCATGGCTACCCCCCTGGATGGGTAGCTGGATACAAGTCCAAGTACAAACAAGGCCAAGAAGCTCAGAATGCCTCCATAAATCAAGTTGGGGATATAGGCATGACTGCAGAGCAGTTTCAAAGGCTGATAGCCCTTCTACATTCCCAGAATCATGAGAATCAACCTTCCACAAGTGCAGTCACAACCAATAGCCAGGAATTGAAACCAAATTCCAATGAAGGCAGGTTTATTTCCAACCTCCATACTGTTAATGCTATTTCTTCTAATGATACTTGGATATTAGACTCAGGAGCAACTGATCACATCACTTGCTCCCTAGACTATTTTGAGAATTGTCAAAGGGTTCATGGATTATCTGTAAAACTGCCCAATGGTGAAACTGTTAGTGTGACACACATAGGGGAAGTCAGATTACATGTTAATATGCTGCTGAGTAATGTGTTATATATCCCCTCCTTTACATTCAACATTATATCTGTTAGCAAGCTCACTAGACAAGGGCATTGTGAAGTGATTTTAAGTGCTGATTCTTGCAAGGTTCAGGCTCCCAATGGATTGATGGTTGGTTTTGCTAAGGAAAGGAATGACCTGTATTTGCTCAGTGAACCTCCTGCAAAAGGAAAGAGCATCCAGCTTGATAAGAACATCTATTGTAATAGCTTGTCCCTAGATCTATGGCATTGTAGACTAGGACACTACCCTGTGAATAGAATTCAATTTTTGAATGGAATAAAAGATGTTCAACTGTCAAAATCTTTGAATATTCCCTGTGATACTTGTCATTTTGCAAAGCACAAAAGGTCCCCTTTCCCTAACAGTACCTCTAGAGCTGAAAAGTGTTTTGATCTCTTGCATATGGATGTGTGGGGTCCCTTTCCTGTGGCATCCACAACAGGAGAACACTATTTCTTGACTATAGTGGATGACCACAGTAGGTTCACATGGCTTCATTTGATGAGAAGTAAATCTGAAGTTAAGAACCTATTTCAAAGCTTCTATAAGCAGGTTGATACACAATTTTCTACAAAGATTAAGGCCATAAGAACAGATAATGGTACTGAATTCCTAATGAGTAACTTTCTGAATGATAAAGGAATAGTACACCAAAAATCTTGTGTTTACACTCCCCAACAGAATGGGATTGCAGAAAGAAAGCACCAACACATTTTAAATGTGGCCAGGGCCCTAAGATTTCAAGCTGACTTGCCTATAGAATTTTGGAATTATTGTGTTATGCATGCATCCTACCTTATTAACAGGTTGCCTCCTGCAAGTTCTGATGAGAAGATCCCCTATGAAGTCCTGTTTGGAAAACATGTAGACTATCAACACCTCAGAGCCTTTGGTTGCTTATGCTTTGCATCCACCATTCCTCAAGGAAGAAATAAGATGGAACCAAGGGCCAAGAAATGCATGTTTCTGGGAATTCCTGCTAACACAAAAGGATATATATTGTTTGATCTTGTTGACAGGTGCACTTTTATATCCAGGGATGTTCAGTTTTATGAACACAATTTTCCTCTAAAGGGGGGCAAAACTGAAGCTAAGGCATTGTTCAATCCTGTGTTGCCTTCAATACCAATCTCTACTGAAGTCAGTACATCACCTTTGATAGATAGGAGAGAAGTTAATGACCAAGTTGCAGAAAGAACTGAAAGTGTCAGGTTTGAAAGCTTGGGATTATTTGACTCTCCAATCCATGAACCAGATGATGACACATTAAGCAGTATCATTCCAGAGGGTGAATCTGATGAAGCAAGTTGTCCAATACAGATAGACAGATGCCAGGTAGAACCAAGGAGATCAGAAAGAATGAGGCAAGCACCTACAAAGCTGCAAGATTATTATTGTCAGACAATGATTCTAAACAAACAGATGTCAACCCCTCATTCACTTGACAAAGTCATATCATATGATTGTTTGCCCTTCAACTACAAATTTTGTGCATCCTCTATTCTCTCATCACAGGAACCACAGTCATATAAGGAGGCAGTCCAACATGAATCATGGAGAAATGCAATGAAAAAGGAGATGGATGCTTTGATTGAAAACAACACTTGGATTCTCACTGACTTACCCTTAGGCAAAACTCCTATTGGGTGCAAGTGGGTATACAAAGTGAAGCATAAAGCAGATGGCTCTGTGGAAAGGTACAAAGCTAGATTGGTGGCTAAAGGGTATACCCAACAACTAGGGGTGGATTACATTGAAACATTCTCCCCTGTGGCAAGGATGACTACCATTAGAACATTCCTAGCTGTGGCTATTGCAAGAGGGTGGGAAATTCAGCAGTTAGATATAAATAATGCATTCCTACATGGGGATCTTGAAGAGGAAGTCTATATGGTTCCACCCCCTGGATATCAGACTGAGAACAAGAACAAGGTTTGCAGGTTGTTGAGGTCTCTTTATGGCCTAAAACAAGCTAGTAGACAGTGGAATGCCAAGCTAACAACAGCCTTGCAAGACAATGGATTTAAACAATCAGCAGCTGATCCATCCTTGTTCACCAAAGTCTCAGACAAGTCTTTCATGGCTCTCTTAATCTATGTTGATGATATTCTAGTTGCAGGTTCTGATTCCCAACAGATACACAGCTTAAAAGAGTTTCTGGACAAGACTTTTAAGATAAAAGATCTTGGTCATATAAACTACTTCTTGGGGCTTGAAGCTTTCAGAACAGATAATGGTCTCAACCTATGCCAAAGAAAATACACTTTGGAAATCTTGAAAGAGAATGGTTTCCTAGGGGCCAAGCCAGTTTATACTCCCATCAGTGCAGGACAAAAGCTCAGCAACTATGAAGGAAATCTCCTTGATAAACCAGAAGTTTATAGAAGACTGGTTGGTAAACTGTTATACCTAACAAACACAAGGCCAGATATCACTTATGATGTACAACAACTAAGCCAATTTGTTGATAAGCCTAGGGACACTCATCTTATGGCTGCTCATAGGGTACTTAGATACCTAAAAGGTTCCCCAGGGAAGGGACTATTCTATCCAGCTAATTCTGCTATCAAACTACAGGGGTTCTCTGATTCAGATTGGGCCACCTGTGCAGACTCTAGAAAGTCTATAACTGGATTTTGCATTTATCTTGGGCAATCATTGATCTCATGGAAGACTAAGAAGCAGGCCACTGTGTCAAGATCATCATCTGAAGCTGAGTATAGAGCTCTAGCATCCACAGTGTGTGAAATACAATGGCTCCTATACTTGTTAGATGATCTAAAAGTTAAATCAAACAGTCCCACTACTCTTTTCTGTGACAGCCAATCTGCAATAGCAATAGGGGAAAATCATGTCTTCCATGAGAGGACCAAACATATTGAAATAGACTGCCATGTTGTCAAGCAAAAGGTCCATGAAAAGGTGATAAAGCTCATGTCCATATCCACACAAAAGCAGGTAGCTGATGGCTTCACAAAAGGACTACCAAGGCTGCTGTTTGATGCTTTCCACTCTAAGCTGGGCCTTCAAGATATTCATGCTCCAGCTTACGGGGGGTGATAAAATAGACATCAAAGTCTTCTTTTCTGTTAAGCAAAACTGCCAAGGGCATTCTTGTAATTTCTCACCTTCTAACTGTTTTTGGTAGTTAACGTGTAACAGTGGATATAAGCTTTGCTTCTTCCTTCTGGGAGGAGTTGAGTTAGTTCTGGTTGTAGTCTTCAGCACATGAGTTCAATGCATTCAGTTTCCTCCTTTCCAGTTTACACATTCTTCATTGTCTCATTCCATATTTGAATTCTCAACATCAATCCATTATAATAATAGTGAACTTTATGTTTCAATGTTATAGAAGGATACTAGAATCGACCCTCCAATTCAAGCCTACGCACTAGTGAGCTGCTCTGATATTAATTATCAGATAAGGCGCTTACTCTTATATTAAACCAAAAATTATACTCCCTCTGTTCCATTTTATCTGTCCTACTTACTATTCATGGGTCAAATCAACTCTTTCTTCTTTGTTTATTTTCTTTAGTATTTTTTAATTATTTTAAAATTTGATTTGTTGTGTTTAATATTACTTTTAATGTAGTTTCTAAATATATAAATTTTGTATAATAATACTAAACTTAATATGATAAAAAATTGAATTAAAAATAACATCAGTCAAGCTTCGTTAATCAAACCAGACACATAAAATGAGACGGAGAAAGTATATATAGCTATTACAGATATAATTTTTATAATAAAATATTGGACTCGGTCCTCAAGTCTCGGGACAATAACACTCTAAAATTGAATATAATCATCACTTTTTAATAAGAGCTGAGACAATAATATAAGTGTCCACTGCCATCAAGGACTTGAAATCTGCAGCAACCATGTTTCTGTACCTGCGGAACACCTCTTCAATTATTCCTTCTCCAAAGTGGCTAACAAGCAATGGCTCAAAAACAGCTCTCATGCACCTAGCAACGTATGCACCATCATTCGTGTTACCAATATTATTATCATCACCAGATTCAGATTCAGATTCAGATCCAGTCCAATGAATTTGGGAATCCTCCAAACAATCAATAATGAAGGAACCATCCTTCTCAACTAGGGATTTCAATTCTGCTGGAGATGGTGTGTAGATAGGAACATTGAACGAAATTAGTTTCTCTTCTTCCACAAAACCCTACATCATCAAAACACTATCTTAGTTATTTGTGTGTTGTTCATACTAGAAAAGAAAATAAAAGAATATATATATATATATATAGGGAAGGGATGTCCTTCCCGTGAGGTTGTGGGGTGGACTCACATTAAGCATTACACTGGCGCATTTTAAGTACACAACAAACGCACATTAAACACACAAACTAAATACATTCAGAACATAAACTCACGCATCTTAAGCACACAACTCGCACACACCTTAAGCACAAAAACACACAAACTAAGTTTTAATAACAACTCACATTAAGTACACACTCACACACATTAAAATACACAACTCACGCACCCTTAAGCACAAAAACACACAAACTAAGTTTTAATAACAACTCACATTAAGTACACACTCACGCACATTAAAGTACACAACTCACGCAACCTTAAGCACAAAAACACACAAACCTTTAAGTTTTAAAAACTCACATTAAGTACACACTCACGCACCCTTAAGCACTACACACACATTAAGTACACCCTCACGCACATTAAAATACACAACTCACGCACCCTTAAGCACAAAAATACAAAAGCCTTAAATTTTAACAACTCACATTAAATACACACTCACGCACAACCGCACGTGAACTTAAACATATATATATATATATATATATATATATATATATATATATATATATATATATATATATATATATATATATATAAAGTATACAACCCCACGATACTAAACATACTTTCTCGCACAAAGAGTCAACAACGCCTCCACTTTCACATGGGAGAGGTCACTATATGCCATCTGAGCACAAGGTGCTTGGTAGGTATATATATATATATATATATATATAGTTCATGATTAGGTGAGTATTTGATGGAGTACCTACCTCTTCAACAAGTTCCTTAAGGGTGACGCCTAGGAGTTCTAAAAGTATATCGTAATCTGGATTTTCATCTTTTCTGCCGAAAAAGTTCAAAACCATTCTCCCACCTTTCATCAATTCTTCAGAGCGATGTTTAAGAAAGGTTGAAAAATCTCTATCAAATTGATCATAATATGCCTTTGTCACATTTGGGGGACTTGCACTTGTCAGGCAAATATTTAACTTGTTGTCTTCTATTCCTTTGGGTACCTGATGATCAAATCAAATTGTTTGAAGTAGGAGATCAGGAGGACAAGGAGAAAATGTAATTTTTCTCAAAATAATAGAACATAATATATTATATACTTGAGATAGCCAATGGAGACTATAAGAAGCGTGAACGAAATGGAGGGAATCGGCGGGGAAAAGACGGTCATAAAATGAACCAGGAACTCCATTGAAGAAGCATAGCCCAAACCCATCTCCCATCTCTGTCCTAAAATCTGGCAAGGACCGGAAAATGGTGTTGAAGTCGTTGGTGGGAAGATCATTTAAGTAAATCTGAAACTCCGGCGAGTGTAGCCGCCGGAGCTTCTTCCGGTGGTTATCGACGGCTTTGACGAGGTTGGAGACCGCCAGCAAAGTGTTGGGGCCAGAGGAACACCCCAAGTCTGCAATGGAGATGCTCTTTGGGTTGTTGAGACTGGTATAGAGGCTGGTTATTGCTTTCTCTGTTATCGACTTTGCCATGAGTATCCCCTTTCGCTGTACATATATATCAAACTTAAAGACTTATGTTTTGTCTTAACAACAATAACAATAACAAATTAAGGATTAACGTTAATAAATGAAAAAAAAAAAAAAAAAAAAAAAAAAAACCTGAAAAGGGGAGTTTTTGGCATAACTGTTGTCTCCAGTACCTCCATTCATGCGAAGCTCTTCAACTACTTTCATCTTTCCTCAATAATCCCTACCCCCCTCTCTCTCTCTCTCTTCCACTTTCACTAATACACAGATCTCTGTTATGAAACAAAAGAAATGAAATGGAGGTCCAAGGTGAGGTTTAAACAATCGTTATGCTCCGGACCCGTGTCCAGCATCAGCATGCATGCTGGACACGGGTAACAGTGCTTGGCAGTGTTATTTTTTTTTTGTTTTTTTTTTTTTTTAATTTCAGATTCGTTATAGGAGTACATGTTCATAATTTTATTACTATATGTTCATAATTGTAAGTTCATAATGTTCATAATTCAATAATTGTACATTCATACTTCCATAACTGTACATTCATAATTCCGTAACTGTACATTCATAATTCAATAACTGTAACTTCATAATTTTCGAAGCTCTATGTTCACAATTTTAGAGCTCTATGTTCATAATTTTATCACTAAATGTTCATATTGTAAGTTCATAATGTCAGAGCTCTGTGTTCATAATTCCATAACTGTATATTCATAATTGCATAACTGTACATTCATAATTGCATAACTGTACATTCATAATTCCGTAACTGTACATTCATAATTCAATAACTGTAAAATCATAATTTTCGAAGCTCCATGTTCACAATTTTAGAGCTCTATGTTCATAATTTTATCACTATATGTTCATAATTGTAAGTTAATAATGTCAGAATTCTGTATTTATAATTTTATAACTTACATTCATAATGTCATAACTGTACATTCATAATCCCATAACTGTACATTCATAATCCCATAACTGTAGATTCATAATGGCACAAACGAATAACGCCGTTAACAGCGAGACAAAATCAAATTTTTTTTTTTAACTGGAATGATCCATTTTTCTTAAAAACGACGTCGTTTTGGACTCGTGTCCACAATTCATTATAGACACAGGTCCAGGGCATAATTTGCCAGGTTTAAAACCCCCAACCAAACCATTAAGTTTGGAAAGCTAAGTACCAACATGGGCTTAGCTCAATGGTTTAGTGGGCAGTATTTAAGAGAAGAGACCAATATTCAAACTTCGACGGCGACATTATGGGAATTATGTTCAAAGTGGACAGATTCCTTGTGCACACCGGGCCTTGAGCAACTAGTCTTGCTTTGTCATTCGGCCGAAATATTCCCTTGGTACCTACAACATTGACACTATTATTATGTTCAAAGTGGACAGATTCTTTGTGTGCACCGACATTGAACCATTGAGTCATCGTGATTTACATGCTCTATCGGGTTGAAATTTGAGGGCCCTTAAAGTTGGGGATTCAACCTTTTGGGAGAAGTTTGGAAAGCAAGAATAGAGATTGGCCTGGTCGGAGTTATTGCGCTTAGTTTATAGTAAACGTGGGTGTCTTTGCAAGCTGTGATGAAGTGATAAGCCAATCAGCCTAGCTTTGATAGATGTCCTTAGCTTGTAAAATACATATTTATTTATCTCATTTTAAAAACATAATAATTCACACTCAAAGTTATATCCCTAATTTATGTTTATGTTTTTAGTGCTATTCATTTTGTACATTGCGTTTTTAGAATTGTATTATATAATTTTTTGAACAAAAATACTCCAACTGTTATAACTTATTTTATTTTCTCATCTTTGTTACAATGCACATGCGTCCACTATATATTTTATTATATTCTTTAATGATAATAATATTTTTAGACATAAATACGATATTAATATAATAAATACATTTAATTTCATATATATTTTAATTAGTAAGAATTTGTTAGTTATTTTTTAAAATATAAATATTGGACATATGTTTTTGCGCATCTCGTATAGAAAAGACTAGTCAATCCTATAAATACTGATAGAAAATATACCCCGGGTTCGACCTTCTGGACGTTCCGTGCTCCTGTTTTGGTCGGGGTCAAATGGTTCTGGTCAAAAGTCACCTAGTCAATGATTGCTCCTATATAAAGACACCTAACCCTTTAGAAAGGGGGTCCTCTCCCTCTCCTTCTTCTCCATTACTCTCTCTCTCTCTAGAATATGTACTATACAACACACAAGAACAATGAATAAAAGAGTCTTTGAGCTAATATTCTACCATATCTATTCTTGATTCATACATACTGTATACACTTCACATACTTCGGGTACATATGACATGGCCCGGGTTTGGTTGTGGTTCGCTGTCGACGACAACCGGTAGGGAGGCCGCCGGGCATGGGTTAGTCTCATCAATAAACCCCATGAGCCCATGTCCCTCTAAAAAAGAAACTACTTGTGTCCTCCAGAACAAGAAATTTTTGTTGGCAAGCTTAATACTGATAAAGTGATGGGCAGTAGAAAGTGAATTGGCAGCCATAAAATCGGAGGAAGTGACAGTAGCATCCGAAATGGTCCGCTCAGGGGAGTTAGCAGATCTGTCAATATTACTGCTCTGGGATTCCATTGAGAGAAAATAGGAAAGGAACCTGAGACTACTGATACCATATGAGAAGTGTATAAACTGTATTAGATAAACAGTAATTACAATTGTACCGATTGAGGGAATATATACAAGAGAGAATCATAGAAAGATTAGGATAGGAAGTCATAATGTGACAAAAAGTTCTAATACTAATACTAATAGCAAGGAAACAATTTTATTCTAAAAAAAATGTAATAAAATTCGAGCAGTATTTAATTTAGTTAGTTGCAATTTTGTGATGGATTTAACAATGTCCGGAACTAAAGTTATCTTGCAAACTTTGCGTTACGAATAACAATAATTTTAATTAATGTAGAATTAAAAATAATATTTAAAATATATAATTAAATTTAAAAATAAAATTAGAAAATAGTCAACACAAAAAAAAAAAGCAAAATAAAATAATTAATTGAAAAAATTCCCGACAAGCCAAAACAACGCAATTTTGATCCAACAGTAAAATTGCTTTGAGAAGTTGAGAACCGTAAAATTAAAGAGAGTGGTAAACATTATATTATTCTACATTACAAATGTTGCGCGCAGCCTAGTGATTAAAATGTAAGCTTGGTAACTAAAAAAGTAAAAAGTTATAAATTTAATCTCTAGTAAGAGTAATTTTTTTGTGATCTTTTATTGACTAAGTTTGTGAAACTTGATTAATCTAATTCTTTAACAACCATAAAATATATATATATATATATATATATATATATATATATATATATATATATATTTTGAGTCAAGTTGGTTCGACCGTTAATTTGATAATCACAAAATTCTATGTTTAAATTGATTTTTAATCGATGCACATTCTCAAACAGTGACAACAGATGTCTCTCGTCATTAAAAAAAAAAAAAAAAGAAAAAAAAAAAAGATCGACAATCCGTGTCATAGCACATTGCAATTATAAATTAAAGCAGGCACCAAAAACACATCTAATCTTTAAGTTGAGACGACATTGCGAAGAACCAATAGTTATTCCATTGGACTTTGATCCACCTTGCAAGGTGGATCCGAATTCAAAATACACAATTTACATATTCATAATTTATATACTGAATGTTCACAGTTAAAATTGTGAACATTCAGTACGTAAATTGTGAACATTCAGTATGTAAATTATATATATATATATTTTTTTTTGTTCCACCTTACAAAGTGGATTCGAGTTCACAGAATAATTTTTCACGAAGAACAACTTCTTCGATCATCTAACGGTCAACCCAGGCAACCCAAATCCAAATAATAACCCGTGGTCAATTGGTAAATTTTACTGTGGTTCATGATGCATGTAGTAGTGTGATCCATGAAGTAAGTATTGTTTTTATTACACTTCAGTTCATTTGACAATATTATTTTATTTTTTAATTTCATTTTCCACACATATTAATTATATTATAACAACACTAAAATATCATTTTAATTTTACTATAGTTCCATTATTGACAATCATGGTGCACCTAGTACTCTGGACAATGGTCCACACTATAACAAGTGTGGTCGATTGAGGATTTCCTCATTTCATCCCAAATAAATATCACAGATCAGAAGCACTACACGTATTCCCTCAACACATGCCTTGTGGCACGCTTTGATTCAACTTAACATACATGGTCCAGAATTGAAGGACCACCATGCCATATGAGCTAGGTTCGAAGAACCAAATATGATAATAATTTAAAAAGTTACCTATGAAGATCCTGGTAAATTGTTGTTAGTTGATAACTATTAGTTGTTAGTTGATTGTATTAATTAGAGGATATAATTAGTTGATAACATTAGCTTATTGTAAAAATGTGTTTAGTAAATTAGCTGTTAGCTGATAGCTGTTTGCTATAATTTCTTTTATCAAAAAAGCTAATTGAGAAAAGTTGTTTTAAGCAACTTTTTGAATTTTAGTATTTTAAAATTGCAAAAAACTTATATTGATTTTTTAACCAAGTCAAACAATTAATAGTGGTTAAATAAGTCAAAATTGACTGATAAACTAACATTTTATCAAACAAGCCTAAATGTAAAAAATAAAAATAAAAATTATAATCCAGAATCAAATATGGAAATGATCTTATAGCCGTGTGACTAAAAGTACAAATAAAAATACACTTATTTATACTGCTTATATTATTTATAGTGAATTTAAAGATAATATTACATGAAAATCTTAACTAAACACACAAATTAAGTAGAAATTGGCGATACATTTAGAATAAAATTACACTTTAATAATGGAAACAGTAGCATTAGTGAATTGAGTGTCCTCCGGACGAGTCGACATGGAATCATCAATCATCTTTTTGTACCTATGAAACAACTCCTCAATTATTCATTGGCCGAAGTGGCTAACAAGCATAGGCTCAACCACAGCTCTTACGCTTCTAGCAACACCGTACCCACCATTACCCTCGTCACTAACAATATTTTCATCCTCACTTCCAATATTTCCAGTCCAATGAATTCTAGAAATCTCTAAGCGATCAATAGTGAAGGAACCATTCTTTTCAATTACCAATTTTATTTCTGCTAAAGATGGTCCGTATACAGGCAAATTAAACGAATTTAGTTTCTCTTCTTCCACAAAACCCTGCATCAAATTAAACAATTTTAATGTTAGCCATATATATATAGTATGTTTTTTCTTCCAAGAAGCTGAGGCAGGCCAGTCTATAATGTTATAAAAAAAAATAAGTTTTTTTAAAGGTTATGTAAAATATATAACTACGTACCTCTGCAGCTATATCATTGAGGGCTAAACCTAGGAGTTCCCAAATATCCCAAGTAGGGTTTTCACTTTGTCTACCCAACATGGTCAAAACCATTCTCCCACCTTTCACCAATTCTATAGAACGACACTTGAGAAAAGTAGAAAAATCTCGTTCAAATTGATCATAGTATGCCTTTATCACAGTTGGTGGACTATCACTTGCCATCGAAATGTTACCCTTGTTCTCTTCTATTCCTTTAGGTACCTGCGCGCAATCAAAACAAAATGTATGTTCAAATTAAAGCTACAACTAATTAATGATTTGAATTCAAAAGTAAGTATATATACTGGTACGTACTTGAGATAGCCAATGGAGACTATAAGAAGAATGAACAAAATGGAGGCTATCGGTGGGGAAAAGCCTTCCATAAAATGAACCAGGAACTCCATTGAAGAAACACAGCCCAGACCCGTCTCCTGCTATCTCCCTCCTATGTTTTGGCAACGACTGGAAAATGGTGTTGAAGTCGTTGGTGGGAAGGTCATTTAAGTAAATCTGGAACTCCGGTGAGTGTTGCCGCCGGAGCTTCTTCCGGTGGTTGTCGACGGCTTTCATGAGGTTAGAGACTGTGAGCAAAGTGTTGGGGCCAGAGGAACACCCCAAGTCTGCAATGGAGATAGTCTTAGGGTTGTTGATGAGGGTGGTGTAGAGGCTTGTTATGGCTTGGTCTGTTATGGGCTTTGTTATCTGTATCACGTTTTGCTGCATCACCCAAAACCAAAAACATGTTATTTTTATAAGGATAACATCAAGATTAACAGTACTAGATTTATCATTTGCACGAAGGGAATAATAATGTTAATGACTATGAATGGAATAATAATTAATTAACCTGAATAAGGGAGTTGTTGGCATAACTGGTGTCTCCAATTCCTCCATTCATTCGAAGCACTTCAGCTACCTTCATCTCTGATCTCTCTCAACTTTTCAAGGAATATAAAATACTCCGTAGCAAATAAGCTTCCTTTTCTCCTTTTTATAGCTGAGCTACTGGATATATAGCATATTTTTTTTCTTTTATAAGAATATAACATATAATACATGTGAATGAAGAGACATTTTACCTGCCCACAAAATAGAGGAGCCGTGTAGGAATTTTATTAAAGTACAAGCGAGATTCAAGTTATGTGACAGCACACACTTCCCTTAGTTTAAAATTGATTCAATACCTTCTTTAGGGTGCTGGGAGCGCTGTAGCATTAGTCTCTTATGATAAAATGAATTACTAACAGTATAGTTGAGCACTCAATGCATATTGTTTTCCGCAAACTTAAAGAAAAGAGCACTTCACACAGAAGACATGTGGGCCACTGGGTGACTTAAAGCCCAAAAAATTCATTAGAGGTAGGTGATAAAAAAAAAACTCCTTGTGCGCATATTGTATAGGTAAGGGTGGAAACTAAGGACTAACTGTGCGATTCGTGATTCACCTCCTCAAATGCCCTTGAGTAGGGATAGTGCTGGCGACATAGAATTAGTTTAGCCTAAAATGGAAATTGTATTAAAGAAAAAATTTGGAGAGGTTGAGAGAAATTTTCTGGAATTTAGGTGAGAGCAGAGGGTGGAAATCAAAATTGTTCAGTTTGTGTAAAAATTTGGAATGACCGAGGTAGCTTAGAATGGCAAATTATGTTGTGCAATCGTGTGCACCTTTTTGATCCCCAATTTTTATACTATAGATTCATAATTATTGAAATCTATATTCACAATTACAAAATTCTATGATTATCATTTTCAATGTTCATATTCCCAATTGTTGAACTCTGTATTCACAAATCACTGAACTATATATTCATAATTTGATAATTATACTGTTTAGAAATTATGAATATATAGTATAAAAATTATGAATCTATACTATAGAAATTATAGATCCAATTTTGTGTGCACCTTGTATGGTGCACACGGTTGCACGGCATAATGCTCCGCTTAGAATAGGTGGAAATGAGTGAAATGACACGTTTTCAACAATAAAGAAATGTTATTCATTGTAACGTACGATGCCTAACGAATTTTGGAAATATATATGAAGTAACGTTACGTATAATAATTTTATTGATAAAAAAGTGGAAAAAAAATGTGGACCATTCGTTTTCTTCAATGAATCAGAACACTTATGCCACATAAGTAAGGTGTAGAAAAATTGAGTAGAATTTGAAAATGTGTAGTATTACTCAACAAATTATATTGTGGACCTTGGAGTATATTCTACAAAATAGGTCCTGAGTGACAAGGCCGGTTCTGAGTATGTTTAATATGTGTGATCGCACAATATTTCATATTAAAAAAAAATATATATGTATATACAGTATTTAAGATTTTAGGCTAAGCGCAAGAAGATTGGACAAAGGGAAAATGGCACTTTTTCCCCCTGTGTTATATACTTATAGCACTTTTTCCCCCTATATTATTTAAGTGGCAATTTTCCCCCCTGATATATTAAATGGACATATTTACCCTTAAAATAAATATTTCCTTTATTTTACTTCTCCAACAAATTATAACCACAATTTGAAAAAATAAAATACATTAATTGTTGAATTTAGAATACTTTAAAAATAAAAAAATAAAATTTTAAAATAATGTTTGAACCAACAGTTCAAATTGGATCCGAAATTGTGAAACAACGATTCAAAATAAAAACCAAATCGCGATTATATATACTTATATGTGAGAGTCAATATAAATGCGAAAAAAAATACACTATTTGCAAATATTATAATTCTAATTTTAAGCTATTGCTAGTAGTTGTTCCAATTTGAACCTCTGGTTCACGGTTCAGAATCTATTTTTTTCCACTTCACAATTTTAATAAACGGAAACCCAAATATTGGGTTATGTTATGAATCATAACCGAATTTTTTTTTTATTTGATTGCTATAGTGTTCGGTTCAGTTCGAACCGAACCGTGGCCATCCCTACGTATAAACAATAATTTGTTGAACAAGAGAAATAAATAAAATATGTATTTAAGGGTAAAAATGTCTATTTAATATTATCAGGGGGAAAAACCGCCACTTTTATAATAATTGAGGGGGCAAATGTGAATGCATGAATAACTCAGGGGGAAAAAGTGCTATAAGCATATAACATAGGGGGAAAAAGTGTCATTTTCCCTTGGACAAATTTGTCATAAGGTGAAATCCAAAAAAAAAAGTGTTTGTTTAATTTGTTTATATATATATATATATATATATATATATATATATATATATATATATATATAGAGAGAGAGAGAGAGAGAGAGAGAGAGAGAGAGAGGGGGTAGTTCAAATGCGGCGAGGTCCTCTCGTGCGGCGGGTTTTAGAATACACCAACAGTGTTAACGAAACGTACCAACATTGAAAGGGAAACACACCACCATGAAATGTAAAAATGCACAACACACCCAAAGAAATACACCATAGACCTCTTTACCACTTAAGGTGTATTCCAAACATGTGTGGTGCTTTTAATCATACCTAATGGTGTGTTGTTGGTGTTGCGTACTTAATTTGTGTGTGTTTTTGTGGTGTATTTCCTGACGTTGATGGTGTATATCTTGCTTACTGTTGGTGTATTCTGACACCCGGCGCATGGGAGGACCTCGCCGCACCTGAACTCGATTATATATATATATATATATATATATATATATATATATATATATATATATATATATATATATATATATTGATACTGCTAATTATACGTAAGCAATATAAGTAACACAAGACCAAGTAAAGCAAGTAAGTCTTTATTGATCGAGGTAGAGTTCCTGAGTACAATCTACTTGGTTGCCCTGAGTACCGACTGACTGCAGTCGGGAGTCTCTAGTTACAACCTATCGATCGTCCAAAAGTCCCCTACACTGTAGCTACTGTGGGTACTTATAGCCGCTGTGCCGGAGACAAGATCCCAGCCGCTCGGCATGTCTTCCACGTAGCCACCACGTGCCATCCTCCTGGGTGCCCTGCCTGTCGAGGTAAAGAGCCGCCACGTGTCTTTAGTCAGCTCCCTCGCCGAAGGACTACCGCTCGGGGTTGACACCATCGCTCGGGCAACTCCCGGTCGGCTCCCGACCGGGTTCTTCTCAAGGAGCCCGACCTGTTACCTGCAAAGACAAGGAGAAAGAGACAAAGACTCCTCGGTCGTGGTGAAGCTATGTCGGTCGGGATATTCCCTACCAAGAGCCCCCCAGCCCGGGCCTTTTTGATCAGTCGGGAAAAAATGGGACGGGATGAAGAAGCCCAACCGTCAGGCATTAGACCGACCGGCCAGCTGTCATTCCCCTTACGCCACGTGTCGGCCTCTGCCGGCCTTGGCGATCCCATCCGTCGCCTTGGATTCAGCGCGGGTCGTGTCAGGCAAATTGGCCCATTTCCCGCCTAAATGTCCTCCTATAAATAGGCCCTTGAGGCCCTCATTTGAACTTTCCTCACTCTTTCGCATCAGTCGGTACCCTCAGAGAGTCCCGAGCAGAGCAGCTTAGCAAGGCAGTCGAGCAAGCAAACTTCAACTTTCAAGCTTCAAACTTCAATCTTCCTTCAATCGGTAAACTCTCAACCCTCCTCTTTACTTTAAGCTCTCATTTATAGGTAGAACTGCTAGGTCAACTAACTGTCCCGGACGCCTCAAGTCCCTACTAACTCCGACCGACCTTTAGGTAGATCGATATGACGGACTCAGACAGTCAAAACGCCTCGATTGCTGATTACGACGAGGAGGTCGAGCACATCAGCGACGAGGAAGTGGACATTATGTCCTACACCCCGGACGCTAGTCCCGAGCGACGCCAGCCCTCGAGCAAGCCGCCGAGCGAGACAACGCATCAAGCTCCTCTGGATCGTCAAGCTCAAGTTCAAGCGGATCGGGGAGCTCCAGCGAAGAAGGGGAAGAGAGGACCACGTCGAGCGGGCGAGGTTCTCCAACCGAGGGCGTTAGGGAAACGCCCACCCGGGTGGTTGGGGACCACCCGGAAGCTGCTCTTCGAGGGGGTGATCGAGAAAATACCCCGAACAGACCGAAGAAGACCCGGCCGGGCCGGCCGTACCAGCCGTCGAGCTTGAATTTTTGAACAGCGAAAGCGTCGAGCAAGAGATGAGCTTGCTGTCCAAGGGCGAGGCGGCTCGGATTGCCGAGGTACTCCGGGGTCGGGCAGAATTCGACACGAGCCGGCAGCTGGGAAACGTGATTGACAGGCATCGGGGCAAATGGATCGGGATGCACTACGACTCCCTTATGGCCCCGATCGCCATTCCCTTCACCCCCCTCCTGAACGCCTTCCTGGCCTACTACCGGGTCGTCCCGGCCCAGATCTGTCCGAACGCACATCGGATCCTGGCCTGCTTCCCACAGATATGCGCTCGGCACGGGGCCGAGTGCACGATGGAGTTGTTTAACTTCATCTATCAGATCAAGGTTCTCCCGGGCCGCTACGGGGGTGGGTTCCTGATGTTGCAATCCCGAACGGACATGTGCTCGATCAGAGGCTTGCCCGGGAACAACAAGGGGTGGAAAAACAGGATTTTCTCCCTCAAGTACGAGCCCTGGATCTTCCCGGTCGATCGCGTCTGGAGCACACATTTCAGAAAGCAAGTGGTGCCGGCCGAGACGCAAGCGCTGAGGGACGCGGTCAGCCGGATCTCGAGCGAGGTGCACGAATATACAATCTACCGGACGGCTGAAAGCCTCGCAGCTGCCATGCTCCCGCCCCCCACGTACGAGCTGCCGGAGAAGTATCTGCCCGTTCCGATGGGCGTGACGGTCGCCAAGCCGTCCAAACGAAAGAAGAAAGGTTTGGCACGAGCTACTTCTCCCGACCGGGCTTATTACCTCGATCTAACTAACTTTCTTGTTTTGCAGCTATGGCCGAGTTCGGCGATGAAGACACCGCCCTTCCCCCACCCGTCAAGATCTCGCTCGGCGGGAAGAAGAAAGCCAAGACCAAGGCGGCCGGGGAGAAGGAGATCCCCTCTGCCCGACCTC